TGGCTCGGCCAACATTTTGAAAGAGCGTGATTAAGCAAAGACTCTTAAAAGTCAATAATGAGGCTCAAAAGGAAAAGTCCACGGGTGAAGGTCAGCCGTTCTCTTTGGAGAACGATGGCGTGCCCGGACTGTCGCTCGATTTTCCGTGGAAATTCGAGGGGAAACTCGAAAGTGGCGCGATACCACGGGCTTTTCTTTAGATTCCCGCTGTGATCTCGTATGATAATACATCTAGGAGGAGACGTTAGGAGGCGATTGGTTTCCCGTTAGAACAAGAGCTCGGCTTTTCGCCGAATCGCCGGGGAAAATGGAACGATCGGATAAAAAATCGGCGACACGCGATGCCCCGTGCTTTTCCGTCTTGGACGCGGACTTTTGCCCGACGAGCTAACGATATTATTATCCGTGTGCTCGACAGCGACGTCGACGACGAACACGGGGAAGACGAAGATGATGATGATGATGATGATGATTACGACGATGATGATGATGATATGATGATGATGATGATGATGATGATGATGATGATGATGATGATGATGATGATGATGATGATGATGATGATGATGATGATGATGATGATGATGATGATGATGATGATGACGACGAAGACGACGACGATGATGATGATGATGATGACGATGACGATGACGATGATTATAATGATGTGGACGGGGTTGAAGAAAACGATCGTTATACATAGATGCGTCCGCACTGTTATTAGCCATTGCGCATTTATATAAAGCCGGAAAAGCGAGAAGCTGCGGGCGCCAAGAAAAATTGACGGATCTCTCGTTCCCGGGGACGCAATTAGCGTAATCGGGGAATTTATTCGCACACACGCTACGGCTTATCCGAGTTTAATCGCTACCTCGCTCCTGTCATCTCGCTTGAATTTTCCTTATCTGCCGTTTCGTTATATTGATTTCCTGCTTTTTTTTTCTTTTTCTTTCTTCTTTCCCCGAAAGATCCGAGTAATTGCGTGTTGTTGCATATCCTTTTTTGCGGTCGACGCAAGCGAATGCAAATTCTGCACATTTCGCTAACGGCGCTTATGGTATTTCAGCAACGCACGGAGTATCCTTTATAATTTTGCTGCCTTGACAGAGGAGATAACCTCATTATAGTCCAAATAAAATAATTCTCCAGAAGAGAATTGTAATTAATATGTGTATGTAAATTAAATTATTATTTTCCAAGAAAGTCCGATACAAATAAAGTCTCGATTTTATGCGTTGACATTGCTGGTATTTTTCAATCTAAAGGATATTCAGCGCCAAAAAAGAAAAGAAAAGAAACAGAGCGACCGGCAAATTTTACTTTCGAAAAACTAGATGCACAATTATTGTGAAATATGTGTTAACGTACGTGTAAAATCGAATTACACGTGATATATTATTCAGGCTCACATACCATCATATCTCTCGAGAATTTGACTTATTCGCTTTAATTGCGTCGCGGCGGCGATGATTTTTGCGTAAAAAAATATGGGAAACATCAAGGTGATAAAACTTACAGAAATAATCAACCTTTAAATGATAGCGCGAGCAAATTTCAGAGGGCAGTAGTGATCGTTAAGCGTATTTTTGTATTAGAACGCTTTGTTTTTGACGCCTTTCAATGACCTCTCGTCGGTAATACAAACATTGAAATAAAAAAACAAACGCCAAGTATTAAACATTTTTTCCCATACTTGTCAATAAAACAATAAACCTCGCTTACTTCGTATCAAAAAGGCAATTATCGGGTATTTTTGCTTCGAAGAAAATAAATCAACACTTCTGCAAACGAGTCAATTTTACTTTTGCTCGGGAGTTGCGCGCCGATTACGCAGTTCCGTATTCAGTTGTGCGGGGAATTTCGTCGAGGACGTGAACAACATGACTCAAAGCCGCGGAAAACGTATTGAAAGGATCGCTTCCTTTATGATGCACCGGTTACCCGGTAACAACTCATTGTCAGTATTATCGACTTCCTATTTTGGAGAAAAGTGAGTTGCCAGTCGAAAAAGCCATTTGGCGCAACTCATCGGGCTTTTCTCATAAATGACGCTCGAGAGTCCGTTCAGCATCGACGGCAAAATGTCAGGAGAACGACAAAGGTGTCATAATGGAGAAAACGAACCGTCAGGTGGATAATGTGGATGATGATGATGATGATGATGATGATGATGATGATGATGATGATGATGACGACGACGACGATGATGATGATGATGACGATGATGATGATGATGATGACGATGATGATGATGATGATGACGATGATGATGATGAACAGGAGGAGATGAAAAAGAAGGAGGAGGAGGAGGAGGAGTGGTAGAAAAAGGACGGGGAACAAAAACGAGCGCCGCGATACAGTTACGCGGGGCGCGTTTCTATTTTCGACGGGATAAATTGCCGGCCAGGACGCGTTTCGAGGTCGGACGCGCGATTTTCGTGCAATTATGGGATGGAAGCCGGATAACGAGGCACCGCCGGTAATTTTCTATTCCCAGTGCAGCCGCTTCTATTTATAGCACACCGAGATGTTTTACCGGCCGCGCGTGGCTTCCGTCTTTTACCCGTCCGATAGAAACGAGATCCTTGGAAGCGGTTACGGAGAGGCTCGAGGAGGACGAGGTGGAGGCGGACAAGGAGGATGAAGAGGAGGAAGAGGAGGAGAAGAAGAAGGAGGAGGAGGAGGAGGAGGAGGAGGAGGAGGAGGAGTACGAGGAGGAGAGGCGCTCGGCAAGAAAGTGAGTTACAATCACTGCTCGAAGCGCACCTGGAGCGTAAAACGATCGGTCGGCGTGAAAGTCGTTAACGACTTTTACCCGAGTTACATCGGATGTGCCTCCGATTTAGATGCGAGTCCTCGCTTTTACCCGGTCGAGCTTTCGGGCGGTCACTGCCAATTCATTGCTTTTCCTTTCGTTATTTTCTTTCTTGCTTGTCCGACTGCAGGCTCGACGCGCTCGTGATGCAATGAATTAAGTCGGGGACCAGAACCTACGCCGCCAGAAGCCGCTCGTCGGTTCTTGGGAATGTTGGCGGTGAGGAGTGAGGGGTGGGGTTATAGCCATCCGGAGCCGATTTCGGGCTTTGCTTCGTCGTTAATCGGCGATCGCGTTGCTGGCGCTGCCTTCTCTGCGGCTTTCTTGAGAAATCGTCGATGGTATATTTTCGATACGCTATTACGATGTAAGAGCGCGTTGCACAACGCCTAGCCTAATGCTCGCAAGAAAATGAGATGCCGATTTGCGCTTACAGGAAGTGGATCGGCATCCCCCGTAACCTTCTTCCTATTTTCTCTTTAATCTACTGGACGATTTCTTTAAAAGCGTTCGCGCCATTCCCGCCGGTGCTCATTGTCTCTTGGAATTTGCGTAGTCGGGCCGAGGTAATCATAATCCACTAGCCAATTAAATCGCGCCTCCGCGATGAGAAAAGAGCGCTACTTTTCGTTTGGACGGAGGCATGGGAACTGCGTGGAAAATAATTTAATGGAAACGAGGAATCGAACGGGCTTTAGCATCGCAAGTTCGAGAGCTACGGACGAGTCTTTTCGTAAGATTGTAAAGCGCGTTATTGCTCCTATGATTTAACGCTCACGAGACGATAAAGTTACTATTATGGTATCGCTCGAACTGTGATGAGATTTATTTCGCGAATTCTAATAATACGAATGCAAGCAAATGTTGAGAATATTTATTCCTTGGACTTATCGCACGATAAGACATTTTTTCCTCCTTCAATTTTCATTTTCATTAATCGTCGGCCTTAATGCGTGAAGTACTCAATTATGAATTGCGCTTCGTAAATTAATAATAGTTTATTCCTGCT